AGTCAGAGAAAATATTTTAAAAGTATCTTTAATGACATGAATGAAGTTCAAGAGTATGTGTGTGAAAAGCAGATATAAAAACAGTATGTACATTATAATATATATATGAGACAAACGCATAAGAAAAATACTGGACCTACAGCCAAAAATGTTTCAGGTAGTTCTTGCAAATATCAGACAGGTATGCATGAAAATGTTTCAGGAATGTATGGGTAGTCATTAGGACTGATACTGTTGACATTAATTTTCTTCTGTTAACTTGTTTCTGCGATGAAGCTGGATGATTCTTCTGACAACAGGGAAAAGGACAGGAAGTGGGCAGAGGGGAGGGCTCATAAACAGTGTTTAATTCCAGCAAAACAACCAAGGACAGTGAAGATACCTAATTTAACCACCCATCCAAAGCCTGGCCAACAACACACTCACACATCACAACACACACACAACGCCCCGACCACACGCACGCCGCCGCGCGCAGCGCCATCCCACGGCCGTCCACCTCACAGGCCACACACCAATTAAGTGACCAGGAGAGTTGCGGCAGGGGAAATGGCCCGTCTCTTTTCACAGCTGCGCTGGCTGGCACGAGTGCAAAATCGGTACGATGCTTGTGGGGGCCTTTTGCAACACACAGGAAAGTCTTAAAACGTCTCTATGTGGATCCTGCAAGTCCACCGTTAAGGAGATGCTAGCAAAGATTTTGGCTTGACACAGGAAGGATTCACTCATCAGAGCACACGCAGTGGGTTTGGAAACCAGGGAAAGAACTAGGCACCACCTGAATGTCCAACAATGCGGGAACGAGTACAGAAACGTTAAGGTCCATGGATACCTGGAGCACCTCGCAGGCACTGAGATGACGTATTCACAAGCCTGTTGAATAACACGGAAAGAAGTTGAATGGGTTATTTGTTGTTTTTAGATCCTGAAAAAGCAGGTTTAGAAACACACACGCATGAACCACTCTATAACAGTGTGTCAAGGAAGGTGGGGTGGGGGGAGGAAGCCAGAGCCAAGAGGGAGAGAAAAAAGCCTGGAAAACAGCACACAAAGAGGCAAAAGCGGTTCTCTCCGGTGGCTAGATCGCGGGGATGCGAAATTACGTCCCCTCCTCGTTTCCCCCTCGCTGAATTCTTAGCTCCTTCCCGGTGGTCTCATACCAGAATATCTGTAAATCACTGTCAGTAACATAAGAGAGAGTGAAAATGCTTTTAAGCTAAACTCTACAGGAGAAGGCAGCCTTTAACCAACGATGGCACGGATTATGAGTTTATTCACCGACAAACCCTTGGTGGGGCCGAGCGAGAGGGCAGGAGAGGAGGGGAGCCAGGTGGAGAGGGGAGGCGAGGAGCAAGCGGCCGCGGGGGCCTGGCGGAATGGAGGGCCGCGAGGGAAGGGCAGAGTCGAGGAAAAAAGAAGCAGGCTGGAAGGGGGTGGGAGAGAGGGAGGGAGGGAGGGAGAGAGACCCTGCCACTCCCCAATACAGCATACACTCTGGTGGTGGGGGGGCTGAAAACCGTGTGGACCCAGTGTGCTCTGCTGGCCTAGCTAGCTTCTGTGTCTTCCATCGAAAGTGCCTCCCCCTCCCGCGTGTCTTCCTCGAAATCCTTTGACGTCCAGCACTGTGACTGCCTGGCCCAGGCTCCCCCTTTCCGCCTCGTCCGCTTCTTTGTGCTACTAACCTCCCCGACAAAAATCTTGCGTAATGAGGAACATGCATTCATCGCGTCCGATGGCCCGCTCCCGCGGACTCCTGCTTCCCTGCGAAGTGCACGAACCCGGAGCCCTTGGGCCCCTTCTCGTCGCCAGCACTTTGCAGGAAAGGATGTTTCACCGACACGCAGGAGAAATGTTTATCAGCCCTTGTTGTCGATGTGCTGCCGGCTTGATTAAGAACTGCCCACGCACCGCTCCTCTGCGGAGGCGAGGGTCCCGTCCTGGGACCAAACAATGATGCGCGACGCGCCTTGCCCCCTTTATGACCCATCGAAGTTCCAGGGTCCTCCCAGGGCCCGCTTGGCATCCACTCGGTTGCTGATAGTTGACGTACGCGCAGCCCCCCAGGCCGAGCGCCGTGAAATCTTGTCCCTGCAGATGCGGATGGACAGGATGGGCACGACCGGCTAACTTCTTCTACAGCATCCGCCTCCCGTCCCTCGGGCTGCAGGTCGCCCACGGTAACAGCGACCATGCAAGCTGGCTTTCCCGTCCACAGTGCCCGCTCGCCGCCTTCCGCTTCTGCGTCGCGCGCCACCCGCCGCGGCACGCGGCCGGCATCGGCTCCTCGTCTCCGCGCCATCCTCCTCGCCCGAAGGCGGGCGCAGCCGTCCGTCCGTGGCGACTTCAAAGGCAACGCGCGGCCTCGGCCACGCCCACGGCCCGCCACCCGGCGGCCTCCGCCTCGCCAGGGCGGCCCCCGCTGCTGCCTCCCTGCGCTGAGGCTCAGCCCTCCACCGGTCAGGCCTCTCAACTCTGCTCCGCCTCCCGCCACCCGGAGGGCCTCCGCCACCCGGCCTCCTGCCACGGTCGCAACGCCGCAGCCCCGCCGCCCCGCCGCGGGCGCCGGCCTACAGGCCGCGCCACTGTCCCGCTGATCGCCACGTCGCACGGCGCCGGGCCGCTGCCCGCGACCACCTTCCCGCGAGGCCGGAGGATGGAGAGGCGGGGTGCGTGGGCGGGAGGCCGCGGGGTGCCGGCCGGGCCGGGCCGCGAGCCGGGAGCTGGCGCCAAGGGGCTGGGGCAGCCGAGCTGGCCGCCGAGTCACCGGAGCCGACCGCGAAGCTGCTCCGGGCGAGTCGCTGCAGCCTGCCACTGCCGCCGCCGCCGCCGCCGCCGTCGGTCGTGGGCTAGCGTGCGGGCGCAGGCGGCGGCGGGCGGCGGTGGCGGGGGCGGGGTGTTTGGCGTCTGTGTCGGCGCAGCTGGGAAAGGCTTCTTTCTCTTTGTTCCCCTGTGGCTGCTGCGGGGCTGCGGGGCTGCGGGGGCGGGCGATCGGCGGAGGGGAATGGGGGAGGGAGGGAGCCCGGAGGCCGGGGGGCAGCCGGTGGGTGCGGGTCGTGGCGCCGCCGTGGGTCGCCGCCCGGATGTGTTGCGGAGGCGCCCAGGACAGGGCCGCACGGTGGACGGAGGGCATACGAGGGTTCCATTCGGAAGCGGGGGCGAATTTTCATCCCCTCTCCCACAAGGAACCTGTACATGGTTAAATCAGGTACCTTGCAAGAGAGGGAGGGGTGCCTTTCAGGACACACTTGCCTGGCCTAAACAAAGCCAAGAAAAATAGTTTTCTGTGCACATCCAGGGTTTCTGTCCCCCCGCCCCCGCCAGAAGAGCGCACGCACTCGCCAACATCACCACCACCAAGGAAACGACTCCTATTCTGAGCCTCCCAAGCGCCCCTGTGCAGCCCGCTGATCCATTTTCTGAGAGCTCGCTCCCCCTTTTCCAGCTCTTTCCCTCCTCTGCAACGCCGGCAGAAGACAGAAGAGAAAGCATGTACTCATTCATAATGCCCTGCCACCAATGTGGATGGCGCTGGGGCCGATCCCCAGGGGAAAGGGGCTCTGGGAGACGGGAGGGCATAGACTGGTTTTGAGCTTGTCCTTGCAGCAGGCAGTCTGGGCTGGAAACCGGGACCCTGATGCAGAGGATGGGAGAACTGTGGCCCTGGGCTTCTGCACACCCCCAACTGCGCTCCCACCCCAGCCTGGGGACGTGCGGCCTGGAAGGGGGTGGGGGGTGCGGAGCCAGAGGACCCTGTGGCTAGGACCGCCCTCAATGGGAAGGTGAGGAAAACCAAACGGGGAGGGAGGGCGCTGGGGCTGGGAACAGGGCCTGGTCCAGGGCCAGGCACTTGCTTGTTCTTGGCTCTTCCCTCCAAGTGCTGAGGTTCCTAACCTGGACCAAGAAGCACACATCCAGGTTTGAAAGGAAAAGCCACAGGAAACGTGAGATGTCTCTCTAGAAGGAGGTGCCTGGTCCCCGTTCACCGGCTGGTATTTCTGGAAGGCTTATGGGGTCCTTGGCACTGGGGGGCGGGGCGGGGGCGTTGCTGGCAGGCAGAGAGGCAGCGGGCAGGTGAGCAGCGTTGATATGGTGGAGGTGCGGGCCGGGTGAGAAGAGGTGAGCAGGGCGTGTGCTGGGAGCAGCGAGGCTGCACAGGGCCAGATGCTGAGGGGACAGACAAGCGAGCGGCCGTGGGACAGAGACTAGAGTCCCACTCCCTCCAGAAAGGAGCACCGGACACTAACTCTGCCTAGCAGGGATCCAGTGAGGCTGCACCAGACATGGGACCCTGGGGTGGGCTTTCAAAGAGGAGGCGCAGACCACCATGTTGGGGCAGGAGAGAAGGCACTCCAGGCAGAGCCACCAGTCTGTGCCCAAGGCCCCTTGGCATGAGAAAACACACATGGTCACTTCTGGTCATGCCTCATGATCTGGCGAGGACAGAGCTCATGGTCTCCAGGAGCACGCGGTAGAAGGTGGGGCTGGAAGCGCGGGCCCTGGGAGGACTCTGTGCGCACGCTCAGGTGCGGCGCTCAGCACGTTCAAGGCGGGAAGCGGCATGACCCCAACTCCAGAAGGAGTACACAGTAAACACCGACACGCCTATGTAAGTGTGCGTGCACATGCGCACACTCTCACCACCAAGGCGAGGTGGATAGAACAAAAGGAAGAAAGTCAGATGTGACCAGTTGCACAAGAGTCGGGACAGCTCTTCTTCCCTCTGTCCCTCCTTTTGTTGCATAAATAGGGGTCTCACACTTACCGTGAGCTGATTGGGCCAGATATTTAAAATGACCAAACCGTCCCGCCTTCCCTTAGGATGTCTTCGTTCCACTAAGGCTCAGGCTGCCCACACAAAGCAGAAATGCCAGCAGGAGGCTACAAGTGCTGTGTGATGGCACTCGGGCGGTCATGGAATTTCCCGGGCCCAGGACATGTTCTCCCCTCCCCCACGTCCACCTTCTTCGGGTAAATACAGATGTTTTCTGTGGTGTCAGCCTTGGCTGGATCTGGCAGTCGCACATGATAGAGCAGCCTGAGCGTGAGGAAGTGACCCGGTCGCGGTAGGGTGCAAGCCAGGGAGAGCTTTCCTTCCCTGGCTGGAAAGCACCCCAAGGGGGCTGAGAAGCAGACACACACACTGATACCTCGCCAGCCTGCAGAGCCCAGCTCTCTGGCCCTGGGCAGGGCCAGTGCCAGCAAAGGCGAGGGGCAAAGACCTGGGAAAAGCCTGCTGTACAGCCCATGCCTGGCCAAGGGGATCACTGTCACCAACGTTGGCAGCCATCTCGTGGGAGTGGAGGTTATTTGCAGGCAAGGGCCGGGTGAGCTGTGCCTCACCATTCCAGGTGCTTGTCCAAGAGGGACGGGAGAAGGCAGAGGCCAAGGGGGACGCCCTGGGGAGAAGGGGATGTGGCGACGATGAGAAGAGCCTCTCCGCCACAGTTAGGAGACAGAAATTACAAGGAAGGCAGATCGCCGACCAGGTCAAGCACTAGGACTGGACAAGGTCTCTTTCCCCAGCTCTGGCTTCCAGCCCAAAGAGCCAACAGAAACCAGTGAAATAGCAGGAGAAGGAGGCTCGGAGAAGTCGTGCTATGGCCAGCAAATCCCCAAACCTGAAGATAATCCCTAGGATCCTGAACCTCTCCGGCCATGGGAACAGGACTACTAAAGTGACGAGGACGCAGCTGAAGACTGCTCTCAAAGTCCTTTCTCGGGGGCCTCCATGGGGCACCACCTCCTTTTTGTACTCTGTGGTCAGTTTCGGCCACCGCAGTTGAACGTCTTCTGACTGCTACATACTGTGACAGGGGCAGAAATAAAGAGCCCCGGGGCGTGTCCATGGCGGGGGGAGGGGGGTGTCCCTCTCTTGTGGGAGGAAATGCTACTGAATTAATTCAATCAGAGATTCAACAAGTATTTATGGATTTATGGGGCGCCACCTGTGTACCAAGTATTCCTCTAACCAGAGGGTCCCACGGGGAGCTTATTTTCTAGTGGCGAGGCAGGCAATAGATCAGAAAACATAAAACCGGTTAAAGGTTGCTGTGACTGCCCTCAGGGAAGCAAGCCAGATGATTCGGTACCTACTGCCTAGCGCCCCAGAGAAGTGGCAGGGCAGCACATATGAAGTTCAGGGAAGACCGCTCTGAGGACAAGGTCGCTAAGCTGCCAGTCCTGCAAGGCACTGGGGGAACAGCCAGCCCAGCAGAGGGGACTGCGATTCCCTGGCCCTGTGGCAGAAAAGAAGGGTTCTGGAGGGACAGAAAGGATGCCCGTGTGGCTGGAGCCCAGTGTGACAGGCGATAGAGGTAAGGAGCAGAGGAAGGTGCGGTGGGGCCTGGAGCTGTGACAAAGAGTTTGATCCTTATTCAGAGAGTGCTCTGGGGAACCAGAGAGAGGATTGAAGCAGGGGACTGCCATGATGTGATTTCCATTCAATGGTTGCTCTCCGGCTGCTCTGTTGGAAAATATTGCAAGCGTCAGGGCACAGAGAAGAGCAGGCGGGCCGGTAGGGAGGCAGTTGCAGGAGTCCAGGGGAGAGACTGCTGTGGCTTGGCCCAGACTGGAAGCATGCATTTGCGGAATAGTGTGTGGATTCACATAGTATTTTGGAAATACAAGAGACTGCACTTGCTGACGGGTTAAAGGCAGTCAGTGAAAAAACTTTGGGGGTGAGTGATTACTACAAGAGCGTTTTCTCGCACGACTTCATCGTGGAGGTGTGATGTATGGCCATAGGCAGTATGGGCGGTGGGTGTGCTGGATTCAGAGGCGGGGGGAAGGCAGTGGGGCGGGTGTGAAGAGCTCCTATTTGCACACATTAGGTTTCTGAAGTCTGTCTCTCATCCACAGCAGCTGGAGACACAGAATTATCGAGACCAGAGGATACAGATGGCGTTTATTAAAGCCAGGAGACTGCGTGGGACCACCTGGAGAGAGTGTGGCCAAGAGAAGAAGGTGCTGGGCTACTCCCTGAGACACTCTGACAGTGAGAAGTTGGGTTGAGGAGCACAAGCCTGAAAAAGAGATTCAGAAGGACTGAGCAGGGAACAGGCCTTCTCTCCAACCCCCGTGCCCAAACCTCCCTCCTCTCCAAGGCTTTCCATGTCCATCCCGCCTCAGGATCCTCACTCAGGTCCTGCTCTCCGTGCCCCCAGCTGGGCGTGCATGGCAGTTGCTTTACAGTGGGACAAGGACGACTTTATGTGCTACCGTTGGGACTTCTCCTTCTGATCATTTCTCAGTGGAGCTTAGAAAAGAGAGAGGCTCAGAGACAGAGATCTTCAAAGAGTGGGGTGGGCATGACTCCGCTATTTCATGTGGCTCACCTCCTTCTTCCTGTCAGGAGGGAGAAACTGGAAGGAGTAGGGATGCAGTTCAGAGAGCAGGGGACAAAGAGCACAAAAGAATGGAAGGAGGAGGGGGATGGGGCACCAGTGGGGAGAGGGACAGATCAGCTGTATACACAAAAGGGAATCAAAACAAAGGAAACAGGGGTCTACTTGAAGAAGCCTGTTCCCATGACTTGCTCACTGCCACAGGTGTGTGCATGTGGGCGTGGGGGGAGGGGCAGTGCTTAGGAGCATAGAGAATGAAAGCACAACTGTATTTTGGAGTAGAGAAATTGTTTCTGTCCATTCACACTGAATTCCTCCAAATAAAGATAATTATGGGTTGCAGGCTGACACAGAAATCAACCTTAGCCTGTTATTTAGGGAAAATTGGAAAGTGTTTGGATGTGCCCCGGTATTTAACAAACAATAACCACGATTATTAAGTTGTCTGGAATAAAGACAACAAATTTAGCAAACGGTCCTTCGGATCCTTATCAAGTGAAGAGCTAAGGGACACAGATATGTCTGTGGAGCAAGGATGGAATGGGAATCAGTCCTGTGAAATGAGAGCTCCAGGACATGAGGACAGAAGTGCAAGCATGTTTATAGCCAAGCTGTTCACAGTGGGAAAACTGGAACCCCAAGCAAGTATACGTCACTTGAGGGGTGACTGATATGTTGTGATGTGGCCATTCCATAGATTATTATGCAGCCATTAACAAGCTTGAGTTGTATTTACGTAACAGAGGAAAAGGCCTGAAAAGGAGAAAAAAAGTGCTTTACCGGCTGTCTTTTTAACTCCCCCACCACACTCTTTTTGGGAATTGAAACCTACATTCCTGCCCAAGGCCATTAATCAGAGGGGCAGAGTAATGTTCTTTGTTCTTTGTCTCCTTTTATCTTTGTACCACAGGAGATGGCTCAAGGGAATTGTCTGGTAGCCCAAAGCTGAAACCCCCCTTTTTGAAAGCTCTGTATTTCTGCTTATGGATAGGTTGATGGTACTTTAAGACAAGAGTCTGCCATCCTCCTCATTTGCCGGCAAATTAATAGACTTCTCTTTCCTTTTCCTCGAACTGCTTGTCCTCCTTCTTTGTTTTGGCCATGGGCCTAAGTACCAAACTTTGGGTAACTTTTATACGGGCTGGTTTCCATATGTGCTATTACTAGGTGAGAAGAGCAGGTTACAGCAAAGGGAACAGTATATGGTCCCATTATTGGAGCGGGGGAGAAGAAATGTGGTGGTGATCTCATACCTACTTGACTGTCTACCTGACATCTCCACCTGGATATCTCACAGGGATTCCGTCCTTAGATGGCACAAATGGAGGTCCTGAGCTTCTTTCACCACCACCCCCCACATTCCCCAACTTTGCACGTCCCTCAGTAGTCTTCCCCCAGGAACAATGGATAACACCTCCATCCATCCTGGTACTAAACTCAAATTAGAAGAAAGAGTCACCCATATTTCCTACCTCTCTACGTGTTTCTATGGCCACTACACCATCCTTCAGCAATTTCTGTCACCTCTACCTCCAAAATACCACCCGAACCTCTTAAACTCCTCTGGATGCCACCATTGTGTCTTGCATGTGTTCCCACCATAGCCTTGTTGTGGCACTTGCCTCCTTACATCCAAATAAATGGCCCGATCCTCCATTTCAATAGTTTCTAGGTCAGACGTCATCAAGTGACCGCATTCTACTAGAGAGGAGGCCTTAACTCATTCACACAGTCTTCCATCTGCCACCTCTTTCTTCTCTCAATGTTTATACCTTCTTCTGATCGTTAGTTTCTCTATTGGTGATGCTCGTAACTTTAAGTGATATACTTAACTCTCAGTTTCTTGCATGCCCCTGAGTCGGTTTCCCTTGGTTTTCTATAAAATGAAGATGTTATCATCCCTCTCCTTCCCTTTCCTCAACCTTCCTCCTCCTTTCTGGATCCTCTTTTTCAACCAGGCTGATACTCATTTACATCCACTTCTGGAAACCTAATCAAATCTTTTGTGCTTTGGAAAACAACACAAGCCTTTTACCTTTTAATGAATCTCTAATAACATTGGCCACAGGGCTGCATTTCTTCACTGAGTGTAGGCTGGGTCGTTCAAAGGAGATTAATCCGGGTATCAAGTTTGAATACTCTCTTTTTCTGTATTCCATGAACTTCTGCCGCGTTTGAGTTGGATTTATATTTGAGTTATGCATCCAACACACACTCTATGTGTCACACACACACACACACGCAAGCACTTCAAATGGCACAAAGACAATTGATTATTAAACCTCTTAATCCTCAAACAACCCTTGAAGTGGGTGTTGTTATAACCTCTGTTGTAGACATGGGAAAGCTGTGGTACCAATCAGTTAAATAACCTGCCCAAGGTCTCGCACATAAGTGGCAGAGTCTGGGTTGTAATTCAAAACGAGGCAGCCTGTTCCAGAGTTGGTCCTGGTCATCACTCTGTTATTCCACACTGAGCTTCCCTCTTTTGGTTTATCAGAATCTGTAAATGATACCACATTTGTTGAAACAGATGGAAAAATGCATATTTGTGGAAAAAATGCTTAACAGTCTCCTTGCTATTGCAACCCCCTCCAATCTCAGACACCTGAGGTTACAGAGAACACAATTGTTTGTTTTATCTATACTTTCCTCAAGCCCATACAAATGCAGGCATCCCCTTTTATTGCAGCTCCCTTTGTCGCACCTCACAGATACTGCATTTTTCACAAACGGAAGGACTGTGGCAAACCAGCGTCCAGCAAGTCTATCTATAGGCGCCATTTTTCCAACAGCACATGCTCACCTGGTGTCTCTGTTTCACATTTTGGTAATACTCAAATTATTTCAAACACTTTCAATACTATTATACCTGCTATGGGGATCTGTGATCAGTGATCTTCGATCTTTCTATTGTAATTGTCTTGGGGCATCACCAACTGTGCCCATACATCACAGCAAATTTAACTGATAAATGTTGCGTGTGTTCTGACTGCCTCACAGATCGGCACTTCCTCCTCCATTTCTCCCCCTCTGCTTGGGCCTCCCTATTCCTTGAGACACAACAACATTGAAATTAGGCCCCCTAGAAACGCCATCGAGGTTGTACTAGTTCCCCAGTTCTGCCAGCAGTGTATGAGTGTACTATCTCTCCGCATCCATGCCAACATTTGTTGTTTTGGGACTTTTTGATAGAGCCCATTCTCACTGAAGTTAGGTGATCTGTCATTGTGGTTTTGATTGCATTTCCTGATGATTACAGATGTTGAGCATTTTTTTTTCATAGTTTGTTGGCCATTAGTCTATCTTCTTTTGAAAAGTGTCTTCATATCCTTTGCCCACTTTTGATAGGGTTGATTTTTTCTTGCTGATTCCTGAGTTATATATAATTTTAGTTATCAGCCCTTTATCAGATGTGCAACATGCAAACATTTGCCCCCTTTCTGTAGGTTGTATATTTGCTCTAATGATTCTTGCCAAAACAGTATGGTACTGGCAAAAGGACAGAGACATAGAAAATGAAACGAACAGAGAACCCAGATAAAAAACATCCTCACATTGCCATCTGATTTTTGGCAAAGCAGGCAAAACATACACTGGGGAAAAGAATCCTTATTCAATAAGTGGTGCTGGGAAAATTGGATAGCCACATGTAGAAGGCTGAAACAAGATCCGCACCTCTCACCTCTCACAAAAATCAAATCACAATGGATAACAGACTTAAACGTAAGGCATGAAACCATATGAGTTCTAAAAGAAAATGTTGGAAACACTCTTATAGACATCAGCCTAGGCAAAGAATTTATGAAGAAGACCCCAAAAGAAGACTCCAATCACAGCAACAACAAACATAAACGAATGTTCTTAATGGCATCTAGAATGGAGAAACCTTTCCAGAAGGTTTTCAATTGACTTTGCCCAGATCCATCAGAGGAATTACTACCTATGACAGCTGTAGCCTTTCAATATGTCTTTCTTAAATAGTAAGACTTGAATATCAAAATTGCTAATTGATGCATGAGCCGCAGAATGGATGTCGTGTTAGCAGACTTGAAAACAACATAACTCTCCCTTCATATCTCCATCAGAGTTCTTGGATGACCGGGTGCATTGCCAAGGAGCAGAAATATATTTATAAGAATCATTTTGTGTGTGTTTGTGTGTGTGAGCAGGCGGTCTCAACAGTGGGCTTTAAACATTCAGTAAACCATGCTGTAAACCGATGTGCTGTCATCCAGGCTTTGTTGTTCCATTTAGAGAGCACAGGAAGAGTAGATTTAGCAAAATCCCTAAGGGCCTGCGAGGGTTTGAATGTTTGTCTTCTCCCAAACTCATGCTGAAAGTTAATCCCCAGTGTGGCTGTATTGAGAGGTGGGGCCTGTTGACGTGATTGGGTCACAAGGGGTCTGTCCTGAGGAATGGATGCACCCATTCATGGATTAATGGACTAATAGATTAATGGGTTAATGCATTAATGGATTGTTATGGGAGTGGGACTTGTGTGTTTAGATGAGGAAGAGAGACTTCGGCTGGCATGTTCAGCCTCCTGACCATGTGACGGATGCCCTACACAGCCTCAGGACTCTGCAGGCTCCCTCCCAGGGAGAAGGCCCTCAACAGACATGGCCCCTTGACCTTGAACTTCTCAGCCTCCCTAACTGTAAGAAATAAGTTTCTTCTCTTGATCAATGACTCAGTTTCAAGTATCCTAATAAAAGCAACAGAAACAGACTAAGACAGG